ATCGCGACCCATCCGCTGGCAAAGCGGGGTGAAACCCCAGTCTCTACTAAGAGAATACAAAAACAAAAAAACTTAGCCCGCGCGACGTGTAGGTGTGCGGGCGCGCCTATCAGTCCCAGCTACTCGGAGCAATGGTAGATGAACTGAAGACAGACTTTATAGCACCCCTGACCCTGGCCCCTCAACACATACACACTCCTATGGCCCCAAGCATGCTGATTTAGAATCCCAGTGATCCTAATTTGCCTAGCCAGAATCTTTGCCTGAATTTCATTAGTACACGGGGCAACACAGAGCTGATAATAATGATGAGCTTTTGCCTGTTTGTTTGTTTTTTTGAGACAGAGTCTTGCTCTGTCACCCAGGCTGGAGTGCAGTGGCACGATCTGGGCTCACTGCAACCTCCACCCCCTGGGTTCAAGCAATTCTCCTGCCTCAGTCTCCCAAATAGCTGAGATTACAGGTGGATGCCACCATGCCCAGCTAATTTTTGTATTTTTAGTAAAGACGAGGTTTCACCATGTTGGCCAGGCTGGTCTTGATCTCCTGACCTTGTGATCCACCCGCCTCATTGGAATAACAGACATTGGAGGCCACAAACGATGGGAGGGCAAGGGGGGGCGGGGATTCAAAAATTGCCTATTGGATGCAACATTCACTATTCGGGTAATGGGGCACTAGAAGCCCGCTCCACCACTATGCAATATATGCACTTGTACCCCGTAAACCTATAAAAATAAAAAATAGATTAAAAATAATAATAATGTCTGGTCATCTAAATAGTACCTCTACAGCTTATTAAGTCCTCTGCAGATGCCCCAGTTGCCTGTCCTTCCCATTAAAGGTGATACCCAGTGCTGATTTCTCCCTCAACCTCCGGGTTCCCATAAACCTCTTCTTTCTCACTCCTGCTGCCCTCCGGTACTCCAGTAAAGAATGACAGACCGGCGGCGCGGTGGCTCATGCCTGTAATCCCAGCACTTTGGGAGGCTGAGGCGGGTGGATCACCTGAAGTCAGGAGTTCAAGACCAGCCTGGCCAACATGGTGA